CGGTTCAAGCTGCATTCCAGCAACGCGGCTGGACCAAAGATGACGATGAAACGTGGAAGGGGGTAGCCCACCTTGTCGGCATGGACGAGGAGGACGAAGAGGAGAGCTGGGCGAAAATCCTTTCCAAAGGCCCCCCACCGGGGGAACCCAGGGTCCGCCCGGACCGGAGGCAGGGAGGGACAGCAAAGCAACAGGGGGCACAGGGAGAACCGTCCTCGCAGCCCGACTGGTCAGCCGTTCTCAACCTGCACACCAAGCCCAGAGGCAGCGTCACACCTGAGCAGTTACAAGAACTGCAGAGGCCTGGCAGGCCGCAGCCCAGCCACAACCAAGCCACGGCAGCGGGGGACCCGGCAGGGGAACCCAGACGGAGACAGTCAGGCGGCGGTACCACGACGCAACAGCAACCAAGCCAACGACGAGCAGCAGCAGCGGGGGGCCCAGGAGGGGAACCCAGACGAAGACAGCCGGGCAGCACCAGCACAATGCAACAGCAGCCAGAGGAAGACGATGAGGAGCCCTTCCTGTGGGATGGCCTCTTCAGCACCATGACGCTCTCTGCAGGAGGGGCAGCACAGCCCAGAACATTCCCCCCTGAGATCCCTACAGCTTGGGGAGTCGACGTTCACTTCCGTTACCTGGGCTATGGAGCGTGGGCGGGGGTTACCATGGCTACAGGGTCGAGGCGAGCGCCAGAGTACCGAAATGCCAGGCGAGGATATTACCGAGCCATGTTGCAGCGAAGGCCCGGGGGATTGGAGCCAACGGGCTTCATGAGCATCAGCACGGCATTTGTCCTTTTCCCTTGGGGGAAAGTGCAACGGGGACATCCCGTGAAATGGCTGCTACACATCACGGGGGCGCAAGCACAGCCAGATCCGGAGGCAGCTGTCCTAACCCCTGGATCGTCCTTCACTTTGGAAAGGAAGCCAGGCAAGCAGGCCTGGGAACTGGGGGGACTCCCCCGACGATTGGGCTTCAATATTACTATGATTGGGGCCATATGCAAGGGACTGGCGCCATATACGAGCGCCTACCGCAGAGCTACACTATGCCACCGTCACAGTGGGAAGAAATGGGGGCTCGCCTCATCCCTCCTGCAGATAGACAACGCCACCCGCCGCCGAACCCTAGCTTCCGGGGGGACGAGCCCCACAGCGCAGACTCCAGCACGGCAGCCAGCAGTTCATCGTGGGGGGCATGGCCGGGACCTACGCCGACGGCCAGCAGCGCCTGGAGCCCAAGCCCGGCGCCACCGGGGAACCCGCAGCCGAACGCAGAGCAGGAGGACTCATACCCGGCCGAGGGGACAAATCACGACTTGCAGCCCGACCTGCAGAATGACGACAGGGACCCGGACCACACGCAGCTCATGCAAAGTAGGAGCCACCTAAGCAGTAAGCCAGCGTCCTCGAGCCATGGCCCGCGCGTTCTGCAGATACGGGGGATCCCGCGACTAACTGGAGCGGCAGCGATGATTCGCAGATGGTTGAGAGAGTTTGTGGCGGTCCTGAGAAGCCAACCAATGGGGGAACAAGTCCCTCTCCTACTGCAACAAGCCATGGAAGCAGTGGGGCATGACCAGGAGACGGAAGACGAAGGGGACAACGGCACGGTGGGCCTCCCGGGGCCCTGCAAGAAGCGACGGGTCCTCAACATGCTCTACGTGGCGCGAGCACGACTGGAGGACGTCACCGACGATGATGGGGTAGATGGCCTCAACCAACACCAGATCAGGGCTGACCTGGAAGAAGCCCTACGAGACGTTGACAGAGGGGCCCAGATGTTCGAGCAGCTTACAGCACAGCAGTGGGGAGACCAAGTACAAGAGGGGCACCATGGCATCGAACAGGCGAGAAGAGCCATCCGAGCTGCGCCCGCTGACACCGTGCAAGGTGACCTTGACTGGGTCACCCCAGGCTGGGGGCAGGCGATCAGGATGGTGCTTCAAGAAGCCGAGGAGCTCATCGATGAAGAGGGCCTCCTCGACTACACGCACCCCTCGGACGTCCTCTCTTTAGAAGAGGGGGCAAACGAGGCCCCGCCGCAGCTGCAGGGGGATACCTACAACCAGGTGGACACCCTGCTCCGTAATGTGGGGGGCGTCGCACATTTCCTTCGCAAAGGGAGAGAAGAGCTGCGGCGCTTCATGGCAGCTGTGATCGTGTGGAGGCAAGCCAACCACGCCATGGGGAGCATAGCAGTGGAAACACAGAGCACGCAAGATGCTGAGGAGCCGGGGCCGGGGGACCCTTCGGGGGACTCGTCAGGCGCAGCTCCGGGCCCGGGGCCGGGGGACCCTTCGGGGGACTCGTCAGGCGCGGGCCAGCATGCGAGAACGGAGGGACTGCTAGGGGACGCGGCCAGATGGATACCGCCCCTCAACGCAGAGCAGTGGTCGGGGAGTCTCCCGACGGAGGACACCCAGCAAAGTGAGGGGGAAGAGCCAACCTTCCCGACTGACGACGAGTTGGTACAAGCTTTGGAGGAGTACGAGAGGCAAGCCGAAGAAGAAAGGCTGCAAGAAGCGGGAGAAGAAAGGGGGCCAGAAGATGCACAACCGGACTGGGCACCGGGGGCAAGCACACCTGAGGGGCATGCAGATACTGAGCAGGGCGAGCATAGACGCCGACGTTTCCTTGCTGCGACGTTAGCAGACTCGGGGGATGGGCCATGATGCCAAAGTTGGGGGTGAGATGGTGAATTAGCTCTTCGGGGGAGTAAGGGGGGTGGTATACTAGCAACGCTTAAGCATCATGGCCCGGGCCTCAGCTTTCCTTGCACATGTGCTTGTCAGTGCAGAGTCATGCTTGCAGTTTACCTTGTTGTCCTGTTTATGTGGGGATACGATGCATGAGGGTAGTAATTTGGTAACACAGTGCGAGCTGACGACACAGAGCAAGTAGCCAGCTTTCAGACGAGGCCGGGGGTTGGTTGCTTAGGGCTAGGGGGTTCAAGAGTTTCTGCACGGAGGCCCTCATCTGAAACAGAAATCTCACCTGAGACTGAGACTACCAGGGCGCGTGCGCGCGCGGGGGGGGGCCCGCCAGCCTTCCCTTTGTCTGTGTTGAAGAAGAGAGAGAGAGAGGCGGGTCCTCCCCCCTTGTCCATAACCCTGCCGAAAGAAAGAGATGAGCCTCCGCAACAGTCGGGGGCGCCGCAGTGCGCGCGGGTAGGGGAACTTCCCCTGCCCACAACCCTGCCGAAAAAAGAGAGAGATGAGAGAGACAGAGAGAGAGAGAGAGAGCGAGCGAGCTTGTGCCTCTGACGAACCCACATTCAGACGCCACGTCGTTTCACAAGAATTCCAAACCGAGCCTGTGAACATTATCTAGCGGTGTCCCATGCCTTATCTTGTTCGTCTTAAGTCAAGTCATAGCCGCCTCGACGAAATGATGTTTAGCCTTTTCGGGGAGACGGAGGACGTATGAATCAGTTTCGGCACTTGGTGTGATCGAGGTTCAGGTACCTGAAACATGCACATAGTGTACTCTCAGGACGAGGAGGTGTGGAGCAAACCTAGAATCTGCTGAGCAGCGACGATCCAGACGCAAAGGGATGCCTAGCCCTAGCAAAAGGGGATCGTCATCGAACTTGCAGAATCACATTGTTCAATATATAATTCCTTGAGACCAGTGAGCGCGTGCGGTGGGAGTGAGGGAACTCGCTCTCATAAAGACAGAGACCACCAAGCCAAGATGGAGGACGGAGCGAGAGCAGAGCCCCCGGACATGCAAAGACAAAGAGAAGGAAACCTTGCAGTTCAGCATCCACAACCTCGTCATTCACCTCAGCAGCTAGAAGGCTAGACAGAACCTGCGGGGCACGAGTTCGGAAAGAGCGGGGACCAGGGAACGGTGACTGGAGGCCCTGCATACGAACACAAGAGGTGTGCCCGGGAGGGACATAAGATCTCCCGGGCTGTGAATGCAGGGCATGTGTTTCCTACGACTAGGTTTCTGGGACACACCTGGCACTCAGATCATTGCATCCGAGCAATGCAAAGAAAAACGGAGTACGTAAGGGGGAGCTGCGTACCCCTTAAAGGACTCTGGGCGGGGGAGCGTGCTCCCCGTAGCGGCCGTAGCCCTCGCAAGCAAACAAGCAAGAAGTGTGCGGGATTGCATGCAAGGGACCTACGGCGCACCCTCCTTGAAGCCTGCAAGAGGCAGAAGAGAGCGACGCTAAGGCGCTTAATGCGTTGGTCCGGATCCCCGATAAGGAAGGAATGAAGCAAGGAAGAGAAGGGAACCATTTTTTGCTCAAGTACTGCAGCTCCGTTGGTGCAAACGGGGCCTTGCAGAATCCATGGAGTCCTTGAGTCGCATATCCGCAGAGTGAGTCTCCCGTGACAACCTGTGACTTGGGAGAAAGTATAAAAGGTGACATGTTACGGCAAGGACGAACTGGAGGAGACTGGGCCCTACCTGCTGAAGCTATCTGAAGCTGCTGCACCAGCATGCGAAACAACAGGAGCAGAGGTTCAACGCCCAGGGCACCGTCGAGGAGGACCATAGACACGACAACATCTACCGCCATCTAGGCCCAAAAATGTTTCCAAAACTGCTTCGTTTGGCGGGGGAGCCTGTGATCTGACTGGCGGTGCGTGGCCGCATGGCCTTCCTCCACGGTGTGTGGCCAGAGAGATCGTTTTCGGCTGTGCACAATTTGCAAGAAGCAGCAAACAACCTACCGAAGGTTACTTGGAGTGCTGATTCGTTGTTGTTCCAGCAAGGTGAAGATGCCAGCATTTCTTTAGCAACTGCCATCCGCTGGCACTGAGCTTCATATCTTTGTTGTCAAACCTCCGGCACCCCAAGCACCGAAACGACCGGAGGAATACCTACCATAAATTAGGCCCGTCACAAGCACAGCGTGATGTTGTAGTCACTGTAGTCTCACTGACATGTTATGCTGTTTCATGCAGTCTCTTCCGCGAACTCCTCCGAAGTGAACCACGGCCGTCCAGGAATTCTGATTGTGAGCAGACCCTGTGACAGGCTGTGGTGCTGATCCTTCAAGGATCGAAGGCTGGAGAGGCGGTGCATCTTTATGCAAGTTTGATCTGCGACTCTCCGGCCAGGGTCCGGTGACTCCTGCGGGACCAGGCCTTGGCGGGGCCTCACCACAGACGCAGGCAGCGGCATTTGGACGAGCAGAGCCCTTGTTGTGGTAGACTATTCGGAGTTGGTACCGAGCTGTGTATGTTCTGACTTTCTTGGTAGCACAAAAAGATGTGCCCCGGTTCTGACGGTTCTAGTGGCTGTAGTGCTTCCCCCTGCTTGCCAGGTCGTGAGAAGAGATCGCATACCTTCAGTCGAAGACGTGAACTAACCCTCCAACTGAATTCTATGGCCTATGTCCCCATATTCGAGCTTCACGTGCCAAGGCATAGCAGTTCGCCGCATACCCCAACAAAATGCGTAATATCAGCAGGGTGGGCTAAGGTTGTTGTAAGATGGCCTCGCTCTTTGCGCTTCGCGCCCTCGTGCAGCATTCATGAGCCAGTTACTCGTGGCATCGGGCACCAACACTTCAGTAATGACGATTATAAATTACAAACGAACGTTGAGTGAATGATGGATTTCTTTCGAGGCAGATTCGTGCTAGAATTTGTTGACGAGATGATTTGATGAGTTCTCGCAAAGACATGTGATTTTGCGTGGGCAGAACGGATGCAACGTCGGTGGACACAACGAGCTTCGCTGCCTGGAGCTGACATGAAGTCGGAAAGTCGAGGAACCGCCTGTAAGCTGGCCGTGCAAGTTGGTGTTTGACGCGGAGTGTACACTTCAACATTTCCAGCTGACCCGGTGAAGTCGGTGGATTTTCTCACAGTCCGGGTCAGAACAAGCCTTGTCGTTGAGTTTCGAATCCAGCCAGTGAGCACAGCCACAGCAGCCTCAACCACAACAACAGCGGCAGGCCCCAGCCTCTTCTGTAAGACTATGCCTCGCGATGCAGCTCAGACTTTCAGCTCGTGTTCGTTTTGCTTGCCCTAGCTGCAGCCGAACTCCAAAATCAAGTGCAGACTCCGTCCGATAACTCCTCCCGATAAGCGCACAGTCAGCGTTTCGCTGGCTTCCGTGTCACTCTATCCACGCAGACTGTGTCCATCACTGGCTTGACCGGGGAAGTCACGGACAAGTCTTCCTGCATCTAGCCGAAGTGCGGACGCGTTTGTCCCTGCTTTTTGCGGTGCACATGGGAACATCTCGTGTGTGTAGTGGGGCTGAGCCAAGTAGATCCTCGATTTCAAAGCAGCCTCACACTCGCCCTGTGAGCTCCTTCACAGGCAGTGGCAAGCGGCACCTTCCTCCTCGGCTTACGCACGCTGGGGTTGCCCTGTGTGCAGGCCTCAGGATTGATACAAGACGGAATGAATATTTTGCCGGTTGCCGTGTGGCAGCCTGGGCGACTGTCCCGGCATCAAGAGAGCTTGCTCAATATATTCTGATGAGTGTTTGAGGCAAGTGACAGGGTTAAATGATGTTCGGCCAATCAATCCCCACTTGCACGGCTTTGGGAGGCTCGCCACAACGCTGACACTGCTAGACTTGCAATCAGCCTCCAACTTTATCTTGTCCGCTAGAGAATGGCCAACACCATGGCATATAGCAGACAGAGCAACAGCACATCCGCATTCAATGTTCGTGGAGTTGGTAGCTAGGAACGTGAGCCGAAGTATTGGCAGCGTTGGGAGAAGCGGACAGTCTCCCGACTTTTGTGCTAAAACAGCACGAGCCGGTTGTCTCATACAGCAAACTCGCATGTCGAACAATTTCTTTGCCATGCAGAGTCGAAACCCTACTCATCGCATCTTGACAGTGCAAAACACTGTTTGGGACAATGGCCTGCGCTGCAACGTTGCAAGGTGGCTGCCTGCTGTGGAAAGGTCGCTGGGCCGGCCTGGGGTTTGGTGCTGGCTGCGGACAGAACCGTCAAGTTTTGTGGTCGGCTATCGGGGGCTGAGAGGGGTGTTTCGCTTGCTTTCGAGCCCTTGGCTGTGAGGACTACCGCATCGCTGGAGCCCCGGGGATCTCTGCTTCCGCTCCCGGTCCCGATCTCAGCAGCAAAGCCGAGGCCTCGGCAACTTCCAACTTCATCCTGCCCATCTGGGGACCTCCTGAATGCTTCGGAGACTTGGTTGGGCACACGGCTGCAGCCTCAGTTCCACCAGTGCGAGGCGTGCTTTTGAGTTTCCGAACTTTTAAGGTAGCCATGCAACTCTGCTACAATCAGGGACCTGCTGCTTGAACGCAAGAACGGCTGCGAGTCTGTAGATTTCGCCGTGGGCTGACGTTAACCAACCTTACAGTAAGAAAGTTTGTACGGCGTCCTGTGAGGTAGGACGACGCGGCGTGTGCTACAGCCTGTTACAGCTTGTCACAGGTCAATGCCTTGTCCATGCTCGAGTACGGAGTTATCCACCAGTGCCAACGAGGACTCGTCTGGATCTGGAGTAGCTCCATGTGTGAGCGTTCTCATTCTCACGACGGATTCTGCGAAAATCTGTAGCTCGACCGGCTAGACTTTTTGGACACCTGACGAGCTCAGATGCAAGCAAGCACAGCCCACGACATACCTGGCGAAACGAAAACAGAGACGCGCACGAGACGCCGAAAGGCCAACGGCGCCAGCTGTCGTCCAGGCGTCCCAGCCAGGTTCCAGCAGCAACCGCCCGACTCCGTTGCGAGCATCCTGATCTTGGGCGTCCTAGTGCGGCGTCACATGGTGTCACAACGTGCGCCTCAGCCTTGCGCACATTCGCATGTTTGCCAGGTAGACAGGGCAAGCATGTGAAGTTTCATCTCTCCGGCAGTGTGGCACCTTGTTATTTGAAGGCACTTGCGAGAAACTGCCAAGTCCAGCCCTGCTTGTGCTTCATGTCTGACAGCTGAGGAGAGAGCCGTTCCCAAGTCTTTCCAAGATCTTTCAGCAATGAGACTGTGCATCTCGTGCGTTTTTGAGATTCATGTCAGATTCCCACACCACCGCGACAGCAGCTCAGATTCGTTTGCAGAATTCATGGGTTCATTTCACAAACCTGCTTCGTGACTGGAAATTAAAAGAAACCCATGCACTTATGTTCTGGCTGACTTCCCAGTCGATTTTGCTTGCGACCTTGCCACCTTAGTGCAACACTGCGCGGCAAAAACGGGATCCAGCGAGACAGGCCGTGGAAGGATTTTGGAGCCGAATGTGTAAAGCAGAACGCAGCCGCCACCAGCCGTCACTCAAGAGACCTACACACACGTCCTGCCAGTTTGTGATTCGCAAGCAAGGGTCAAAAAGTGCGAAGACAGTACACGTGGCAATAGACTGCGCTGAACCTTTCACAACACCTACTTCCTTCGGGCCAGGATGTTTTTGCATCTCTATTTAAAGCTGCTGACAGGGGTTCTTTTCAACATGTTGTGATGTTGTTTGATCCCATTGTCCTGCCGCATGAGTTGGAATGTCAGCTCGTGTGCGGAAGGGCTTAGTACATATCTCGGAAAGTGCAGCATCGTCTTTCCTGTTCGCTGCGTCTCATCAATCTATCCTATCCCTTAACCCCCCTGGTCCTGACACCTGCATTTGCAGCCGACATGGAGTTTTGCTGGCGGTTACTTATCAACCACATCGTGCTTTTCACCTTTTGGGCATTTGTGCAGAAAAGAGATGTTGGACTTGTTGCAAACGGATGGGCCAAAGTGGCGGCATCTACTGCTGGCACGGAGGCTGATGCGGCCCTGGGCTTTGAGGCTTTCAGCTGCCAAGCTGGATCGAACTGGGGCCATAGACGCTGTTGTGTTTTTGAAAGCTGGGCACAGCCGCACACAGCCGGGCGGAGCGCCGGAGCGGTCTGTTCCAGCCGAGCACAACCGAGGACTCCTTTGTTCTGAGCCTCCGCGAGCAGGGCGAACATTCGACAAAATAAATGGGGTTTCTTTAAGGCTTTGTTAGGCTATGCCATGCGGCTAGGCAAGCGTCGATTTCCGGTACCGGCAGGAGATGAAGACACCAAGAAGGCAGCGGCGGAAGTGGCAAGGACAGCTCGGTTTCTTCTGCCTTGCTTTGGCCCTTCCACGCCCTCCATGCCCATCGGTCCTCTCTGCTCGGAGGAGGATCGCTGCAACTCCTGCGCTGGCTCCTGGGCCGCTCTTAGAGTCTTAGACGTGAAACATCGTGAGACAAGCCTGGACATGGGGATCTATTTGGGGACCTCGGATTTCTGGGATCTCGGAGCTCCGAGGCGTGTCACCAAGCCACTGCGATGCTCAGCCCGGCCATCGAAAAGTACGCGTCCATCGTCGCTCGCGGAGGTGCGAAGATGTGCGAAGCGATGCGAAGCGTTCAACATCCAGATGTCTGCACTGCGGTGCACCAGGACTGCGAGCCTAGAGTCCTGAGCGCTGCTGGTGCTGGCGCCTTGGGTGCCTCTGCGATTTCTCAGCGGCCCTGTACCATCCACGCGTAATGGCGTAAGGCTGGTCGAAGTGAGAGAATCTTCCACAGATAGGCAGAACGCTTTAATGCAGAATGGTAGCCTCGGGCGTTGCATCGTTGACTCTTCCGCAGACCAGACAGCGGCTGGAGTAAAAGACTCGAGGAGGTCGCCACGAGCATTGAAGCATTGGGCGAGTGCAACCGCTTATGTTTGCCATGGTTTCCTCGGTCTGAGAGCTCCAAACCCGGAGCGTTTGTGACACTTGTGGTTGCCTTTCTGCGAGACTCTGGGTAAAAGACTTTCAATCAGGATCAGAAGGTGCCTTAAATCCCAACCCCAAGCCTGACCCGAAACCGCAAGCCGCACCTGAAGTCAGATATTCTTTGATCCTGATTACTGACAGACTTGTTCTTAGATCCCGCACCCGCTGAACCCCTTGGCAGCACCGCGGCAACACTTTTCGTGATCATGGCCTTTCCAGCTCCAATCTTGCGAAGGCAGCTCGCAGGAAAGAGTATGGGTATCGGCCTCCTTGAGACACACGAGCTGGAGACACTGCGTTCAGATGCGTTCAGCGTCCATCAGCGCCCGCCTGTGTCAGCAACACGACTGGTCTGGGCAGGCCTTTGCAGAGTCCGACGCTCATCCGGCGATGCTTCGCAATGGCTGCTTCGCAGTTGTCGCTGACGGAAACGCGACAGAGATGCACTGGGTTTGCTGAAGCGCGCTCCAACTGGTGTCTTCCGTGCGAAGCGGTTGAGCTTCAGGAATCTCCAGGATAGTTTTGGGACGCTTATTACCGTCCCATCCAAAGCAGCAATACACTCTCCGGCCGTGGGCCGAGTCTTGCGCAGCAAGTGGATCGAGAGGCGACTGTCGGGGCCCTGATCGGCTTCATTCGATTTCTCTCGCATCTCAGCTCTCGCTGAGGCTTGTGATTCGTGGCCTTCAGGACCTCACGTCGCATGACCTTGTGACCCTCAGCGCTCACTTTGGCCCATTGGGACCTGTGCCTGCAGGCCAGGGGCTCCAGTCATCTTGCATCGACAAATTCAAGTCACATCGCATCCTCAACAGATTTTCAGTACTTGAAGCCTGCAGCATACAGGCCATACAACAGCGCTGGTCAGAATCGATGTTGTATGCACGAAGTGGCAAATGGCGATGCTGCGCAGGCCGAGCGCATGCATCTCTCGGCCCAGGCCATGGACAGTCAGACACGCTGGCATGTGATTTTTTGCCACTAACGAGATGCCTTCCGCGACGACGGGTGAAATCTTTTCCGAGTGCGGAGTGGAGTGAGTGAGTGAGTGAGTGACTGAGTGAGTGAGTGGAGAGAGTGAGTGAGTGGAGTGAGTGAGGGAGTGAGTGAGTTAGTGAGTGAGTGAGTGGGTGGAGTGGGTGGAGTGGGTGAGTGGAGTGGGTGAGTGGAGTGAGTGGAGTGAGTGGAGTGAGTGGGTGAGTGAGCGAGCGAGTGGTCCCGACACGGCCGACGTGGATGACACGACGCGGGCTAGGATCCCGAAGCGCACTCGGGGGTGGAGGGGGGCCACCAAATGCTGCGCCTGCTAGAAATCCCGCAGCGCGCTCGGGGTGAGAGTGTGTCAGTGTGTAATGATGTGAGTGATGGTGATATATATATATATATATTTACGGG